CTGTTTGGGAATTGGGCTGTAATGTTTGTTTCTTTGAATGTGATAAGTTATATTTCATTGCAGGGGGGAGTTTTGGTCTTGGTCTTAATATTCTGTTGTTACTTAGGTGTTGTGTGTGTATGTTTTGTTGTGTGTGAGTGTCTTGTGAGGTTGCAGGATTTGTGTTTTGGACATTTGTGTCCTGGATGTTGTGGTCAGGAGGGTTGTTGTTTCTGTGTGTGAGAATATCAGAACGTGGTGTGTTGATTGTGTAAGTTGTCATGGTTGTGTTAGAGTTATATTCTTTACTTAGGTTTCATGAAGAGGATTGTGTTGTAGAAAGGATATCTATTGTGTTGGTTTGGGGCTTGATAAGTGGGTGGGGTGGTGTTTTTGTGTTATTATTGGTTGGGTTGAAGTGTTTAGGTATTTTATGTTTTTGTAAATGTCTTTTTAGGGTTTGGTAAGGAGGTAGTAGGTCTATGTGTCTGTTAATAGAATGACAGTCTGAGAACCAAGCTTCTTTTAAAAGACGGCCTCCTTTGGTGGAATCATGTGTATATATATAATGTGTGTGTGTGTGTAGAACTACCGGAGGACTGGAAAACAGCTGATGTAGTTCCCATCTTCAAAAAAGGAAAAAAAATGGACCCAGGAAATTACAGACCTATCAGCCTGACCTCAATACCTGGGAAGATTCTGGAAAAGATAATCAAACAACGAATCAGCGAACAGCTAGAGGCAAACAAAGTCATTACTAAAAGCCAACATGGGTTTGTCAAAAACAGATCATGCCAGACAAATCCTATTGCTTCTTTGACTAAGTGACAAAATTAGTGGATCAGAGGAACGCTGTGGATATAATTTACTTGAACTTCAGTAAGGCATTTGATAAAGTAGATCACAACCTACTACTTGACAAGATAGAAAAATGTGGGGTAGACAGCATCACCACCAGATAGATCCGTACCTGGCTGACCGACCGTACTCAGCATGTGGTCCTCAATGGAACCACATCTACATGGAGGGAAGTGTGTAGTAGGGTGCCCCAGGGCTCTGTTCTGAGCCCAGTGTTCTTCAACATCTTCATCAACGATTTGGACAAGGGGATAGATGAGGAACTCATCAAATTTGCAGACGACCCCAAGCTGGCAGGAATAGCCAACACTCCAGAAGATAGGCTTAAGATACAGACTTGAACATTGAGCGCTATCTAACAAATTGAAATTCAATGGTGAAAAAAGTAAGGTTCTACATTTAGGCAAGAAAAACAAAATGTATAGGTATAGTATAGAGGGTACCTTGCTCAATAGTAGTAACTGTGAGAGGGACCTCAGAGTCTTAGTGGACAATCACTTAAATATGAGCCAGCACTGTGCAGCAGCTGTCAAAAAGGCCAACACATTGCTAGGCTGCATTAACAGAGGGATAGAATCAAGATCACGTGAAGTGTTAATACCACTTTACAATGCCTTGGTAAGGCCACACTTGGAATACTGCATCCAGTTTTGGTCACCACGATGTAAAAAAGATGTTGAGACTCTATAAAGAGTACAGAGAAGAAAAACAAAGATGATTAGGGGACTGGAGGCTAAAACATATAAGGAACGGTTGCTGGAATTGGGTATGTCTAGTCTAATGAAGAGAAGGACGAGGGGGGACATGATAGCAGTGTTCCAATATCTTAGGGGCTGCCACAAAGAAGAGGGAGTCAAGCTATTTTCCAAAGCGCCTGAAGGCAGGACAAGAACCAACAGATGAAAACTAATCAAGGAGAGAAGCAACCTAGAACTAAGGAGAAACTTCCTGATGGTTAGAACAATTAACCAGTGGAACAACCTGCTTCCAGAAGCGGTGAATGCTTCAACAGTGGAAGTTTTTAAGAAGAGACTGGACAGCCATTTGTCTGAAATGGTATAGGGTTTCCTGCCTGAGCAGGGGTTGGACTAGATCAGTGGTTCTCAACCTTCCTAATGCCGCAACCCTTTAATACAGTTCCTCTAGATGATCACTAGATGATCTCCAAGGTCCCTTCCAACTTTATTATTATTATTATTATTATTATTATTATTATTGTTGTTGTTGTTGTTGTTGTTGTTGTTGTTTATATATATATAAGTGTGTGTATGTGTGTGTGTGTGTATAGTGTTCTCAAAACACTGTTTTCAAAAAAATAATAATCACAGGATCTTATTATCTATTTTCAATGGCAGCATCAAGTTTTTGCAGTTCTAGTAAAACTTCACTCCAGAGTAGCCATAAGAAGGAAGCATTGATTTATAAGCAATTACATTCTGACACATTAATTCTAAATGCTTTACGCTGGGCAGCTTATGCTAGGCAGTTGTCCATACAATAGTTCTATGAACAGATGACCATATAAAGTAAAACAATGAACCCTAATCTAAGTTAGCGGTATTAAATAGTACAAGCTGCCCAGTGTAAAGCAGTCAGAATTAATGTGTCAGAATGTAATTGCTTATAAATCAATGCTTCCTTCTTATAGCTATCCTGGAGTGAAGTTGTACTAGAATTGCAAAAGCTTGATGCTGCCATTAAAAACAGATAATTCAAGTTAAGTATTTGGAGGAATAGTGAAAAGCAGAAAACTTTAGTAAACCGAAGCAACTTCAGCTACCACCATCCTAACCATTAATTTGTCTTCATAGCTGTAGCAATTATTTAGAGAAATTAATTTACACAAAATCAATAATTATTTATAGTTGAAATGGTAATACTTAGTCATCCTGCTTTGCTGTAATCTTTATGTCAGCTGATTCTTTTAGTGCTAGGTAATTGTATGTGGCACCGTGACCTTGGGTTTAAGTTTTTATTCTATATTTTTTTCTTTCTCCAAGTACTCTCTCTCTCTCTCTCTCTCTCTCTCTCTCTCTCTCTCTCTCTCTCTCTCTCTCTCTCTCTCTCTCTCTCTCTCTCTCTCTCTCTCTCTCTCTCTCTCTCTCTCTCTCTCTCTCCCCCTCCTTCCCTCTCTCCCCCCCTCTCTCCCCATTCATTCTGCCCCTATTAAAAAAAAGCCAAATAAGTGGCAATACGTTATTCTGGCTTGGGAATTATGGGAATTGAAGCTCATATATCTTAAAATTGCCAAGTTGAAAAACAACTCCTTATGACATTTGTTGCCTCAGCAAGAGTACTGCAGTACAGTTGGGAGAAACCATTATAATGGCTGCAACTTAAATGCAACCAGACAAAAAGCTTCATACCCCAGTGATGATATGTTCTTTGAGGTGAAGATGAATTGCAATCCACTTAGTTTGTCCATCTTCTTCACCCCTTCCATAAGTGTTCTCTGTGTAACACAGAAGGTACCATCAAGTGGCTGAGATGCTTGCATGTGGCTTGATCCTGCACCTGCAGAGAAACCTCTATGGCTTTTCTAAGCTCTGTGGAATCTGCTTCTGGCCACAGAAAGGCATAAAGAAAGGAAGCAAAGTGGAAGAAGCAAAGCCATGTGGCCATTTCATTTTGAGTCCAAAGCAAGGGAAGGAAGCATATTAGCCTATGAAGAAGCTTGGAGTGTTTTGCTCAAAATTTGTCACAGTGACATCTTCCCACTTCTTCCCAGGATTTGGACATCACTGTTGAATTCTGTAGGAAAGCTACCAAGACAGAAAAAACAAAGTACTTGGAAGTAAGAAGCCCTTAGAGAAATAAGAAGGAGGGCTGAATTGCACACAATCTTTTACGAAAACCAGTCATGAATTTTAGTTGAATATAGCCCAATATATTGATGTAATCTTTTTCATCCCTAAAAACAGTTTCCTTTCCACCTTCCTTCAGCTAATACTGTATCTCTCACTACCACTTGGCTGAAAGTAGGCTCCTACAACACACACATTAAAGAAAATGACATTGAAAAATAATGTATGAATAATCATAGTAAGAAATATTTGGCTGTTAATATGGTCTAAAAATCCGCCCTTGACTTGGTAAAAACTGATAAAGAAGGCAGCTATTATGGCTTGATAAAAGTGTTTTCCTGAGGGCAGGACTAGAAGTGACAGTTAGAAGATTATTAAAGAGAGATCCAGCCTAGAATTAAGGAGAAATCTTCTGACAATGAGAACAATTAATCAGTAGGACAGTTTGCCTCCTGGAGTTGTGGGTGCTCCATCATTGGAGGTTTTTAAGAAGAGACTGGACAGCCATTTGTCCAGAATAATATAGGGGTTCCAATCTCCCTTCCAATTCTGTTCTTCTGTTTCCTAAGATGGTGACCACAGAGTGAAAAGCCAAGCAAAAAAATTAGAAAACAATTGTTAAGAGGTAGTAGTGAGATTTATAAAATGATTAGCACTCTTCAGCCAGGATGGGAACCTTAATCATTGCATTCCAAAATGAAACAGGGAAACAGTCAGTCAGACAGATTATAAAACTATCAGTCCTTTGGACCATAAAATATTTTGGCAGAACAAAAGACTAGCAGACAGGCACAGAAGCATGAATAAAACCTGTTTTTTTATATAAGTAGTTTTAGCAAAGTGAAGAATACTTCTTCTGTGTTTTTACCTTATTGACCTAAGCCAGAATGTAAATTATTTTGTGTGGGCTTAATTCAGAGTTTTAAACTAACTATTTCATTCAATAGGCAACTGAAGAAAAAATAAAGACATTGTAATTTATTACAACATGAGAATTCAGTACTTCTTTCCTACTTTTTAAAAAAGCTTTTTTCGTTTTTATCTCTGCAAATCCTTCATTAATGGAAACCTGAAATAATATAAATATTATTTAATATAAGCAGTATTTGAAACTTCCATTTCTCCTTGTAAGTTCTCAGAATCGTAATGGAAAGACCTAGTCTCACCATTGCTGTGCTTAGAGTAAGCACACTCAAAATCAATATCTTAAATTGATTTAAGTTAGCAATAAGTAACTTGTCTCATTTCTGCTTTTTCAACAGATTTCTTCTGAGCATGACTAAATTTGAGTCCATACGATAACACTTTACAGAAATTCTAGTTATTCTAGTTATAGCTCTATAGTTTCTTTTCAGACATCTCCTTAGTTGGATACAGTTGATTGTTGGACCAATTGGGATGTGCAGTCCATGGACACCCCCCCCACACACAGAGCCTCATAGCTCCCCATTTTGCAGCCTGAGTCTAACTTCAGAACTCACTACCAATGTTTGAGAAATCCAAACTATGCTAAATCAATTATCGATGGTATGATGTTGTGGTATATTTGTTTCTTTGGGTTGGTTTTTGCTTTGTATATTAATGCTCTGCATTTATTATTTATCTCAACCTTTCCCCAAATTCAAGTTTCTCTCCTTTCCTTACTATGTTGGTGGGTCGCTGAGGATGCACCTTGCAATCCTCTGCAGCTTATTGTGCAGCACTTGGCCAAAAATAGTTGCCCAGGCCTTAATCTAGATGAAATTTCCTCCCAATTTTCCCACATTTTTCTAATCAGGGCTACCACATCTTCACTGCAACATATGCATTGATATCTGTACATATTTGCTAGCATCCAAAGACTGTCAGAATTTTTGCCACTTAAAAGATTGTTAATCCAACCCTGTTTTTCCACCTCTGAATCTTATCTTGCAATTCCCTGGAATCAAGGAAAGGAGCACATCCTCCTAGTCAAGAGAATTTATAATGAACCAGCCACAGCAGTGGTTTACCAGGAAAACACCTGTATGAATAAGACTTCATTCCCTATCCTAGTGGTTGGTCATTTGTGTTTGTGTGTGTGTGTGTGTGTGTGTGTGTGTGTGTGTGTGTGGTATGTGTTAAGTGTAGGACTACCAAATTGGGACTACAAAAATCCAGATGATTGCTAGATAACAGAAAGATGTTATATAGTTTTCTGTATCTCTTTGCTGACTTCTTGGAACATCTCAGTTTTTTTGGCTCAGATTGGAAGCTATGGTAAATATCTGTATTACATTTTTTATATTTATATTTGTAAAGCATTACAGTACAGCAAACAGCAAATGATCTTAAGGTAATAAATTCAAATGATGTGCTTCCTATGTGAAAACTGATTTCCTATAGGTACATCATTCAACAAAGGAACAACTTTTTTCAGCCAGGGACACATTTGGAAGGTTGGGAGCTGATGTGGGCTGCTGCAGTAGTCCCAAAGGGTTACCATGGAAATCTGCCTATTTAAAATGGGAAGGGCCATAGAGCCCTCAAATCCAAGCTGCAAACCCAGACATCTTCTACATGAAAACACCAAAGAATTAAGTTCCATGCATCTTCTTGCACCTCCCTGGAAGGTATGTAACCCAGATCTAGTACCCTGAACAAAAGCATGAATTTTTCAAGACGTAAATGAACTTCTCAGGATATGCTACTATTCTAGGAGGTGAAAAGGGATCTGTTTAGAATCCAGAGTCATTCCAATAAATAAAGGGCAAGGACCAGTGGTTTGCATTATGATATCGATTGGCTGATTTGATCAATACTCCATTTTTCACGAAAGAGCTCAAGGGTGCATAGTGTTCTCTCCTCCTTTTACTGTTACCACAATAAGCCTATTGGGTGTGTTGAGCTGAAAGAGACCAAGAGTCACCAAATGACCATCCAGGGCTGAGGGATAGACTTGAACTGGGTGTCCTCATTCCTAGTCTCTACCTCATACTTACCTGCTTCCTAAAATAATATATTTCTAAAATGCAGGTGGAATCGAAAACCTGGTAAACATAAGAAGGACACCTATGTTTTCCATAGGCACCAAACTGTCAACTTGAAGAGATTTTCTGAAAATAAATAACAGGAGCACTTTTTACAAAAGTATCCTTTTGTTTACAGAGAACAGAAAATAAGCAGGAAGCTTGCTCTCTACTTCCCAATATCCCCGTCCCTGTAAACCATCTCCTTTGGCCTTTGCTTTGGCTGAACACAAGAGTGATGGTTTTTTTAAAGTACAATAATTGCAAACTATATCCAGCTAACATTTGATCTGAATTGCAACTTGGGTTTTTGTGCTGCATGCTTATTGCGTGAAGAAGCACTTGCAATGATATATTTCACTACTCCTCTGTGTGAATTTGAGGTTTATAGGAAGCTAGTGTAACATATGATAAATGAGTACTAGTAAACATGATGCCAAAGAGCTTAAATATGAATTTCTTTCCTTTTGAAAAATTTTCATCCCATTTTAAATGATGATGTTTTAATAATCACAGGAAAGATATTACTGCACACACACACACACACACACACACACACACACACACACACGAACAAAACATCTAGTAGCTCATCAAAGAAAGGCCTGAAGACAAAATTAGAGATAAAATTCAAGAAACCTAGAAAGAAAAGGAAATAGATGCCAAGTAAATAATTTCCCAGACTATTTCAGAAATATTATTATTATATTAGCTTAAATGTGGAAAAAAGACAAGTCTAAGGCAAGGCATACTATTTTTCCAGTGTTACAAATTAGTGTGTTTTCTGCGGTTGTGAAAGATATCATTTATTGAAACTCTGGGATTTACTTCAAGAGATCTGAAATATAATATACGTTCATGCATTATATATACAGTATATAGACTCATACACAAAGTTTTAAAAGTGCTATAAGTAGAGCATCAGACACATTTGCCCAACTATCAGTGAAATGAAAGATTATTGCACTAATAGACAACTGAACTTTAGGAAATAATTGGATCAGCCATTTAGAAGAGGGGTGAGGGAGGCATCTTAGCTTCCTGTCGAATAATTCCTTACATTACTGCCCAACCCAAAGTGACAAACTCCTGAGAGCTTTTGAGGTGCTCCGCATTCTCAGCGCAGGCTGATATTAATTAGCAGCGATCCCTTCTGGTCCAAGATAACGCAGAGATGTATTCCCAACACAGCAACCCCCTCACCGTCTTTACCTGTTGGGGGCCAACGGAGCAGCCAGGTGGACATCCGCGGGGGACCGGAGATACCTCATCACTCTGGGGGTGTAGTCCGTTGCAGCTCTGCCCTCCTGCTCCCAGCCACTGGCAAGCAATCAAGCAAGAGAGACCAAAGTTGTCTAGAGGGTCCAGCGAGAGGAGCGGTCATCAAGAGCCACAACACGCGCTTATTCAACGGCTAATCCTTCCTGCAGCCCCCTTGGGACCGTGACCTACGTGCACCCGGTCCGGGGTATCGGCTCCCCCATTTGCCATTGGTGCCCCCCCCGAACTCTGTTTCCCCTTCCTAAGCCACGCCTCTCCCGTGGAAGCTCCGGGTCTCCTCCGCCTACCTTGCGCCCCCGGCGCCGTCGGCCGGGAGCCGCGCCAAGCACAGGAAGAGGAGCAGGCTGGCGATCAGAGCGAGCAGGGCAAGGACCGCCCGCATCGTCCTCTCGCCCGCCTGCAGCTGCCTGGATAGCTGGACGGCGACGCGACCCGAGAGCTGCAGAAAGAGCGAGGAACGGAGAATGAAGAAGCGATGGCAATGGCAGCCCCCCCCCGCTGCAGTGATGGCAACACCGTCAGGTCGGCGGCAGTGGCGGTGGTGGGTGAAGGAGGGGCGGCGACGGCCCGCCCAGGGTCGCCGCCTCCTCTTTGGCCGCGCCGCGCCGCCTCCCCAGCTGCTTCAACTCGCGAGGGGCGACCACCGCCAGTCCGGCTCGGTGGCACGAGATTCGCTTCCTTCTGGGTCTGACGAAGCCGAGGGGAGGGGAGCACCTCGTCCCAGCCCTGAGAACATCCCTTGGCAGTCCGCCTCCATTTCTCTCCCCCGCGGTCTCTCGCTCGCTCTTCTCCTATCGACACCAAGCGCCTGGAGGGATGGAAACGGAATTGGGAGGTGGGGTGGCGCGGGGAGGAGATGGTGGGAGTAATCGGGTGCCGTGAAAGAGAAGAGCGGAGAGAAACCAAGTATTTGCCAGCACCCATTTTCCAGCTGCATCAGGATCCGGTGTAAAACGACAGGAAAAGGGTGCTTCTGAGCATGTGAAGAATGATAGAGCTTGAGGGACAATAACAGGATTTCAATCTTCTCCTGAGGCCCAAGCAAGCATAGTGTGAAAAAGCCACCATAGCTTTCAACCCAAGCTTTGGTAGATTTGTAAAACCTTCCATGTAGGACATTTCTGAGGCTTAAATTGTGGGCATCCATCCAAAGCTACTATTAGAGTGGAGGAATGCCAAGCCCTCATATGTGAGCAATTTTTGCTCACTTTTCCTTTACAGGTAATAGTAAGAAAAGAACAACAGAAGAGGGGCAGCCTTGCCCCTCCCTATCTCTTGTCACTAGTTACTCTTGCTACCAACAATGTATTGACACAATTGGTTTGAGAAGGTCACTCCTATATCTAGCACCTGTATAGCTGCAACATGCTAAATGTTACTTTTATCTTGACTGAGGCTTTTTTTTTATTTACTGGTCATGTGAACTTAGAACTTGGTTAGTCATGGATCAATACAAGCAAACTCATTGGCTGCATTCACTGCATTAACCTGGATAATGAATGAACACATTCCTTGAGTCCATAGCCTGTGAAATATCAGGTTGTCAAAGACTCGATCTAGTGCATTATCTCCAGCATCAGGCCATAGGTCCTGCTTGTGCTTTTTCCAAGACTTGCCCGAACATATATTTGTGGAAAGAAGAACAAAATGCTGGACTGGAAGAGTGTATAGTCTAATTCAGCAGTACTTTGTCTTCACTCTTTGTCTTTTAAATATGGAACAGGCCACATTTTTATTGTGGGGTGGTTACGTTCCTTTCTGAACCACCCGTAGAGACCCAAATGTAGTGGGTAGGTAAGGATGTCTGTGGGGCATATGTCTGGTCCTGACTTAAGCATGAAAGCTGGCTGGGTGACTTTAGGCCAGTCACTTTTCTTTCAGTCCAGATTGTTATTGTGGGGAGAATAGGAGGAGGAAAGTGTGTTATGTATATTTGTCAGTTTGAGTTGTATATGAAAAAAATGTGGGATAGAAATCTAAAAAAAGATATACTACACAAATAACAGGCTGGACAAAACCAAATAAATATGATATACATATTTGTTTTCTGCCATCTTCTTATTCACTGCCTCTTTTTGTTACTTCTCTGTGCTTCTCAGTTTCTCACTGTTTCCTGGCCTCCCATATCCAGAAGACTAAAATCATCCTGCTAAAGGTCTCAACTGTTTGCCTATGGAGGGCACCTGAAATAAAGTCAAGGGCTCATCAAAGAGGACCCACGCCCAGCTCCAATGTCTACCCACCCTTTTAATCTTAATAAAGGGTCATATGTTTACTCTTACATTTTGGTCCCTGATCACCACGATTTCCTCATTTGATTTGTCTTAGGAATGAGTTTGGAAGATCAAAGAACTATTCTTTGTCTTTTGCTTATTGTTTGAACTGATCTGAAATTTGCTAACATAGGAGGGTTAATCTCAATAAATTTCAGTCAAGCTGACAAGTCAAGAGATTTTGTGCAAAGCTTCTCTTTAAATTTCAATGCTTTGTTTTTACAGAAATGTCCTTCAGGGAATTCTGTTTGGAAATTATTGCCTACCACCCACCAACATGGCAAGATCCCCCCCCCAATAATTGTATTAAAGATTGTATTATACAAGCAAAACTTCTACAGCTACAAAATGGCAACCCTTTTTCATTTATGAATAATTTAAAAAAACTCATAGAAGATTTTAAAAATATATTGAATTGGCTAGAAAAAGAGAAAACAAAAACAGCTTTCTGAACCCCTGCAGGGCTTTCAAACGCTGTTTTGCCTCAGATAGATATTGACATAAACATGTCATATGTGCAGGCACATCCAATATGAGGTTATTAGTGTCAGATTTTTGTCTTCCTGGGGATTTTGCACACCACAAGATATAGAGATAGACACTTGATATGCAAAATGCTCGTGGTCTATGTCAGTATAATTTTTAGAGTAAAAAAGAGAAATTCTTATACTTGAACTCTAAAAGAGGAATCATATTCCATTAACTCAACTCTTTTTATTTCTGTCCTTCAGAGATGCTGTTTCGATGCATGAAGAGGCTTTTGATGCTCTGAAGAACATTTATTTTTAGTGTGCCATAAATTTGGTACCTGTTCTCTCTCCCCTTCCATCCCCTCCCCAAAAATTGTACCACAGATTGTATCAAAGTGTTGAGTCGACATTTTTGTGTGCAAAAGGGTGAACCTCTTCATGATCTATTTCATAATGAAATGCATTTATAGCATTGAACTTTAGAACACTTAAATGTACTTCAAAATAAATTCTTCCTAAGTGTGGGCAGTACTGAACATCTAAAAAGTGAAAACTCTTTTCATGACAAATTAGAGGACATTTGGCAAACTAGAAATGAAGGCAAGGATGACATCCAGATCCTGTAAAAACTCTGCAGAATCAAGACATTCCCTAATTAATGTGTCATCCTGTCTCTACTGGTGGTCAGCCAGATGTTTCTGGTAAATTTATAAACAGGATCTGTAATTATTAGCCAACAGCTGTCCCCTAATATCTGCTGTCAGTGTCTGGATTTCAGTCATCTATCTTCTCTAAATGTAAGTATTCCACTTAGGTAACTACATGGCTACATGATTTCCAATCTGGATTCACTTGAATGTTTCTTTCAAACCTGCTAACATGCAAATTAGGATAATAATACTTAATGGTAGTTCAAGTCAAGGGCACAGAATAGTGTATAAGCATTTGAATATGCTAGATCACTTTATGCAAAGCAAAATAAAAGGGGGCAGGGAAAAACGAGATCACATTCAGACAACACATCGTGGACCCAAGGATTGTCCGTGCATGTCATTCATTATGCTATTATGTTTCTCCCTGTCATCCTCCAGGCCTTGCCTACAGCCAGTTTGCTTCAAACTTTTCATATTATCTGCCTAGGATCAGTCCCTTCTAGAAGAAAGGTCACCATGATGTTTCAAAGTTGTAAGTTGGATTGGGGAATCAAAAAAGTATCCCAGAAGGAGATAGTGGGAAAGATAGTCTAAACCAGGGGTAGGCAACCTCGGCTCTTTTATGACTCATGGACTTCAACTCCCAAAATTCCTGAGCCAGCATAGCTGGCTCAGGAATTCTGGGAATTAAAGTCCATGAGTCATAAAAGAGCCGAGGTTGCCTACCCCTGGTCTAAACTCTAGATGGGGAAGAGCCAAGTTATTTTATGAACAAAGTGGACTCTGGTAGTACATGCAAGATTAAGTTCGTTAGGATGTAAGCTCCTCTCAAAATCTTATACTCTAATAAACTTGATTAGTCTTGAAAGTGCTACCAGGCTCCATGTTTATTAATTTTTGTAGTTTTGCCAAGAAATGTACAGTACAAGAAAGTATTCATGTATTTATCAAGTGTTCAGCTTGACTCTTATCTCTCAAGTTAATAAGAGAAGAAGCTTTTGGAAAATAGCACAGTGAATCCTAAACCATCAAGAAATGTTCAGGGCATGTGGCTTATTGCCAGAATGGAGAATGCAAAGACTGTTCCCATCACAAGATGAGATGCAGCCACAATGTCAATCATAATACTTTTTTTTTTAAAAAAAAAATTTTTTTGCTTAGTTACCATCAGTCTTAAGAAGCAGTTATAGGGAACTAAAATGGTTTGCATGTCATTGAATTAACATAATGCCTTAATATATATATTTGAGATTCTTTTTTATGACCAAAACAATCTTGGCTTTTCATCCTCCAGCTTGATTATAATCAAGGAGAGCTAGAATAAATTTCTCTGTATTTATCTATGCATGAAACAAAAAGGGAAATTGCAAACAAGTCCCCTTTTGCAAAATTCTAGGGATTTCACTGGGAATCCAGACAAGTAGGACCAATAATATGTGGGATGTATCTTTTGTGTATTTTCCTTCCATTCAGTCATGTCCAATTCTCAAAGACTGCCTGGACAAGTCCCTGCAGTTTTCTTAGCAAGGTGCTTCTTCACAAGTGCTTCTCCCACTAATGCTGAGAGAGAAAGCAACTAGCCCAAGGTCCGTCATCTGGCTTTGTGCCTGGGGTGGGAGAAGAACTCATCCTCTCTCAGTCTCTAGCTGTATGCCTTAAATTTTTAAATTTAATTTAATTTAATTTAAAAATTAACATTTGTGTGTATGTTACAAACATCAACATGGCAGAAATGCCCCTGCAACTAAAGTCACATATTTTTTTTTTTAAAAAAAAGTGTAATGCATGCCTGATACATGTAAAAAAGGGGGTGGACTTCAATCACGTGAGAACTTCCTGATCTTTTTGATCTCCTCCCGAGAGACCTCCAAACAAATTGATGTTTGCTTCTTCTGGTTCTTTTGTGATGAATATGCATTCATTAGCTGCTCTTGAAACAGATTCTAGTTGCCTCATTCCCTTAATAAGACCTTCTAGTTACATAAA